GTGCAAATATAGGCCCTAGCTCAAAGCGGAGAGTAGGGGGGGTTAAGAGCGCCAGTGACTTGATACAGATTAAGCCACAAATCGCCGAGATGTTAATCGGAGCTTTTTCTGCCTGACCACTCACAAAATGAAAAGAATCTCTCAATACCTAATTAGTTGTACACAGGGAGCCAAATAAAACAAGATATTAACCTAGATATGCCTACAGCTCAAATACATTATAATAAAGTATGTTCTCTGCAAATTCATTGTATATGAAGCATATATTAAACAAATTTATTATTTTTTAAATTTTATTTTAGGAAAAAGTGTAAAGAAATGCCGTACAAAATATGGTACACTAGGCACGTAGGCGAACATTAAGGTTTAGTATAGAAGAACAAAAAACATTTTACATGCATCCCTACATTGCACTTAGAGCACCTTGCTTTTGGTCTATCATGACATAAGCCACATCTAGTTGGCTTTTCTTGTGGTATCACAAAATGATCTAAACGATCATAAGGAATATCTATATATTCATTAGCCGAAGGACGTCCTCTAGAAAAAGGTGGCGGTTTCTTGTTTTGTTGTAACAAGGCTGTGGCAAGCCGCCGTCTAAATAATAATTGATCCATATGTCCTCCGTGCGATCTATAAAGTTGCCAGGAATTATTAACAGCCTTATGAATACAGTGGCTGATCAATGAAAAATACCACTTTATACCCCGGATGGAAATGCGATAGAGACCAATATTTTGATCACAACGATCAACGCCGTCCATATTTGCGTTATATATATTTACAAGATGAGGCTGTTCTACCTAAAATCAAAAGCATTTTTGAAAACATTGATTTTCTTGCAGATTGTGTTTCTTACCTGAATACTTTTTTATCCTTTTGAGAGTATCGCTTTACAAAGCGAATTGGTTGTAATCCTGCGGCATTTGAACAGCGTCAAAATAAGCACAGGTCGTTGCAAGTCGCGACTTGTTTACGGTGTACCATAGATTGTACGCTAGGCATATCTGGGTTAAAAAAAATCACAATATATTAACTCAGCAAACAGCGCAAATGCTCCACCACTGGAGTGGAAGTTAAAAAAAAGGATATTATTAAAAACTACCGCACAATATATATATAAATAACCTCGCGAAACGTTTACCATGGTACACGCTTTACAGATATTTTAGCGCCTAAACCTAGACTTATCTGGATTGAGGTCTTCTCCTTGCTACGGCTAGGCGCAGCCGAGATATCCTTAGCTCACAAGTGCTCAGATGAAGAAAAAATACGGTGGGCCGTAGTGGACACGTCACAAGGTTGCATGCTTCGTTGTCCAAAAGTTGAAAAACCGTGGTCAAATCAGGGTTTTTTGTCAAAGGGAAGCGGTGGCTTCCGGCAATATCAGCTGCAAAACAGCTACAAACAAAACTGGAGGATTGTGTGGTGGTCCTCACATACTGAAGATTGAAATCCCATAAGAAAATGGACGGGGTAGCACCCAAACCGAAACAACTAAACGTAAGGTGCAATATGAAGGGGTACTACTCAGCAAACTGGTTGTCGGCACCTAATATTAAAGAATCTGGAGGTTAAACAAATCGCGCTCACACCACAATCTGAGGAGGAAAGTGACCGACATGAAAGACCTAACTTTATAAGGGAAGGTTCAATGAGTGGCCTTGAAGAAGATATGTTCGATAGGAAACCAAATAACGGAGAAAGTTTTTTCCAACACAATTCTGCTTCACTGAGAAAGAAAGATATAATACGTGTGAAATTATACAATCAAAAATCTATGAAATTCACCAAAAGAAAATCATTAAAAAAAGGTTTGGCCTAGGAATGGGCACTCTACCATTAATAAAGAGAAATTCAAATGCCTAGTAAGTGATGAAAATAATACAAAAAAATGTTATGTGATTTTGGCGCGTGACACACCGTAAGACTTGTCTTGTCGCTCGACATCAACAATTCTTCTTCGGGTCGATAGACCTGGAGGTTTCCAAAACACAGTACCGTACCTTGACAAACAAAAATCATCCTAGCACTCATCTGGTTTCGATGGATGGCCGAGTTCTGCCAAAGAGACGTTCATTTCGGCTGGTCGGAGTCCAGATCACCGAGGACTTGATCTGGCTCGAACACTTCAATAGCGATAGCTGCTGGGAAAAGCTAGGCTATTTGTTTAGAGCTAAGAAGTACTTTTCTCAGCAAGACATCCTCATTCTACTAACTTTAGGCAGTTCGAAGTCGGATTAACAAAATTTCTTTGAGACCCTGATAGCAGCCGCGGTGTCCTGGCATTTAGCTTCTGCTTGCGAGGCTGCTTAAGCATTTTTCCTAATTCAAATTGTTGTTTTCAAATATAGTATGCTTTATTGGCAAAAATCACAAATTAATCTTTTATCAACAGATAACTGTTCACAATCTACCTCCAGCCAAAATGCAAGCGTCCAGTTCTCTGCGTACAAATTTTAAAGCTTTTTCAAGTACACCAGAATCATTTATTTTTGAGGTACATCCAAAATGTTTTCGTTCATCTACTGCTTTTTTTAAATTCTGTGGCCAATCGATTAAGTTACTTAACAAAAATAAATATTTTTTCGCTTTGTCAAATATTCCATATTAATTCTATTTCCTAAGCACTAAAGACTTATCTGTTCCACTTTTCAGGTCAAAAGTAGAAAAAATTGTTTTTGAAAATATATCATAATTCCTTACATTATTTAGTTTTTTAACTTATGTAATGGTGTATCTGTTATCTGTGACAGTATCTGATTATTTTTTTAATTGAAAAAAATGCCTATTCTTATTATTATTATAGATTTTTCATTATTGTTATTCAACACAACATTGTTTATATCTCCCCAAATTTTCTATTATAATTTTGTTTGGTGCTGGTTGGTATGAAAAGCAGCTGTTAGATGATACCCGCCAGGTTAAATAAAGGCTATTATTATTATTATTATTATTATTTTTCAAACTATTCTGCTTTTATTCTCTGCATGATACAAGTACTGCCTTTTTTATAACCTATCATGATGTTTACTTATCTAGTTTTTTACGTATATTGTTTGTGAATAAGTATACTAAGTGACATATAAATCCGAACACCCAGTTTAAATGGTTTTATTTTAATAAAAGTTGGTGAATGTATTTATCTTACTGTAAATAACAAGTGAAAAAATTTTCAGCCTTATCAGTTGGACATTCCGGTTTTTCTACTGCTTTTTTTTAATTCACTAACGCTCTAAAAATGAATATTTCAGCCGCAGTAAAGAATCAACGTTGGCGGATTTTGGTTCTTGACATCCTTTACGATCGGTTACGATGCCTAGAGTACGGAGACCTGTACGATTTCGTCAACTTAGTGAGTTTGATAGGGGCCGTATAGTGGGACTTCGGGAAGCTGGACTTTCTTTTCGGGCAATTGCAGTTAGAGTGCAAAGAAGTGTAGACACTGTGGTTAGGTGTTGTCAGGCATGGCTTCGACAAGGCCGTACGCAAAGAGGGTGAAGATCGCCGCCTAAGATTATTGGCCTTAAGGGACCGTTTCTCCACTACCAGGTCCATTGCAAATGAATGGTTTGCAGAACACGGAAGTGTTTACCGACGAATGAGAATTTTTGGCTTGTTTTCATACCGGCCACACTGGGTCCTCCCTTTAACTCGAGAACACCGACGTAATCGCCTTGAGTGGTGCAGACAACGGTCACTCTGGGATCATGAATGGAACAGTATTGTCTTTAGTGACGAGTCTCGATTTTGTTTAGGCATGCACGATGGTCGTGCCAGGGTTAGAAGGCGACGTGGTGAAAGGAGTAATCCACAGTTTTTTGTTGAAAGACATGTTCATCACACTGTTGGAGTTATGGTTTGGGGTGCTATAGCTTATGGTTCCAGGTCACCTTTAATCTTCATCAGAGGTAACATGAACGCGCAGCGTTATATCCACGAAGTTCTAGAACCCCATCTTTTACCCTATCTTGACACCCTGGCAGATCCAACTTTCCAACAAGATAATGCCCGACCACATGTTGCAAGAGTCACAATAGACTTCTTTCAACATAATGATGTCACATTGTTACCATAGCCATCAAGATCTCCCGACTTATCCCCAATTGAGCACGTGTGGGATATGATGGGTAGGAGATTGCTCAATTTGCAACGTCCTCCTCAGACTCTAGAAGCACTTCGAGAGGAGTTGGTGGTTGCCTGGAATGAGATACCACAGGAGGACATTGACCACCTGATCAGAAGCATGCCTAGGCGCGTTGGAGAATGCGTAGCACATCAGGGTGCATCCACACATTATTAAAGGTCAAAGGGCTTTAAAGCAGTGCAATCATTTTGAAATTTTCATCATTTACTTATTATGCTTCATTAAGTACTTATAAAAAATTTTATTAAAATAAAACCATTTAAACTAGGTGTTCGGATTTTCATGTCACTTAGTATATTTATCGTTATTAATAATCACTTTTGCTCCGAAGTACTAATTTTGAAAATATTCTTCTTAGTCTAATCATATTCGCAAATTTCCCCGAAATAATTGTAAAGTGTGGTTTTAGTGATGCAAGTTGTTCAAGTGGGTATTTGAAACATGGACGCATAAAATGGATACACCAATGTTTGTGAGAAAAATTTTTAATCGACAACAAAGAACGAGAAAACGTTTTTTTGAGATCCAATCGAAAGCGTTGGCAGGAACGAAAAAACTCTTCAAATAAGATTTTTAAGTAAAAGTTTTCCCACAAAAATTGTTGTACCTATTTTATGTGACCATACTTTACAATTATTTCGCAAACCAGGGGTATTTTCGTCCAATATGATTAGCATGTCGTTCTACTTAGCATTTTTGCTTTAAAGAGATGTGAGCAGTATGTGCTAAGAACATGCATTATTAAGACATCTCTTTTAGCATCTACGTACATTCCAATAAAGTGAATATACCTTTTAATGTTTGCTGGGTAATGTAACGTATGGATTAAAATTATTTTTTTTCTTTGTTTCAGGTGATATGAGAAACGGGGACAACTCTCTAGTAGTCAGTATGGAGCTGAATGGAGTCACGTATCAAGGGGTTCTGTTTGCACAAAACCCGCCGTCAAGGACAGCGATGGCATCTTAAAAAGACTCCCTAAACGAAATTTTGTTTCTGCAACTGTAGAGAGTCATTTAGTGTTCCGGTACAATTCTTAAGTATGAATGTGTTTTGTATTTATTCCCTTCCTATAATAATATGCAAATTAGGTATGTCGGAATAGAGGTGTTCAAGAATTTAATAATAACGTTTTCTAACCTTCAAAAGTCAAATTAGTCGTTTTTTACGTCGTCCCAGGTAGCACAAGCACGTGAAAATGACGTTAGAAATTGGTCATGAAACGACGTAAAATAAACGTGAAAATGACGTCCTAATATAACATACCGATGACGACATATGGCAATCGTAAATAATACGTCACTTGGTGGACGTGGAGATGACGTCTATTATTTATAATAAATAACGAGTTTTAGCTTCTGCAAGAGTCATATACTGTGTTACTAGTAGTATTACACTAACGGAGCACCTTAGGCTATAAATTGTAACACTGGCACACAGCTGCCAACGTAGCGACGAAAGACGACTTATTACTAGGTTCTCCATCTCTCACTTTACCACTTTATACGACGTTTGAGATAGTGATGTAACAAATATTTGCAAAATTTCTGCAAATGATTATCAGAAAAAAATGCAATTATAATATAATAGTAGGTTAATAAAACCAAAATCCATTCATTTCTTATATTTTTTAATACAAGAAAAAGTAACTTGACCTCGTAATCACATTATCAGTCTTCACTTAATCATTTGGTATTATTTATTTATTTACTCTACCTTGGGCAATGAAGCTTATCAATTACATATTCATGGACAAAAAAAAAAACAAAGAAATACAGTATTCTTCTACAATAAACTATAAATATAATCTGTTTTTATCATAATAAGTAAACACTTTAAACAAACAAAAATAAAATTATATATATATATATATAGGTGAAAAATTAAAGCTTCCGCCTTTTGTTGGGTACTTCGACAAAATTTAAGCAAAGAGGACTCTTTATACTTTTTTTAATTCTCTCTAGCTTTCAATGGACTTTGCCATCATCATCAGGAGCTGCAATTACAATGATAACAGTAGGAACAATAGTGTAAAGTGAATTTAAATTGACTTAACTTACAGTAGTATGTGAGGATGTTGCTAATTGTTGTTTACGTATAGGATGAGGGAAACGCCCAGTAACATGGTGAAAGCTGTATAGATGGTACAATGGTCAAAATTATATAAAATATACACAATTGTGTGACAAGAACAAGTTAAAAACATATTAAAAATTTTTTTAAAAACATGAAAGCATTACATCGTGAAGCCACTTGATGATTGCACAAAGTGGTGGTCATGGAATAATGAGTGAGATGAACCCTTTGACAGAAGGCCGAAGGTTGTCAATGTCTGTGTAGAAAGATGGAACGAATTGTGGGCGTGTGCCAACATTGCCAAATCACTTCAGATGATGTGATTTTCAGAATGCTATGTAAGAAATTGTTAAACCGACCAGAGGCAGTTGAATCAACTATATTTTAATTAATGGGAAATTAAATTAACAATTATTATTAAATCGTGAGAAGAAAATTATTAGAATTTGAGCGGAATGAAGTTTATTGGTGGAATCGACCAAGAAACAGATTCCATTTATGGTTGTGAAGAAAATTGGAGGACTTACATATCTCCCCAAATTTTGACTCTTCACAACCATAAATGGAATCTGTTTCTTGGTCGATTCCACCAATAAACTTCATTCCACTCAAATTCTAATAATTTTCTTCTCACGATTTAATAATAATTGTTAATTTAATTTCCCATTAATTAAAATATAGTTAATTCAACTGCCTCTGGTCGGTTTAACAATTTCTTACATAACATTCTGAAAATTACATTATCTGAAGTGATTTGGCAACGTTGGCACACGCCCACAATTCGTTCCATCTTTCAACACAGACATTGACAACCTTCGACCTTCTGTCAAAGGGTTCATCTCACTTATTATTCCATGACCACCATTTTGTGCAATCATCAAGTGGCTTCACGATGTAATGCACTAATGTTTTTTAAATAATTTTTAGTCTGTTTTTAACTTGTTCTTGTCATATTTTATATAATTTTGACCATTGTACCATCTATCCAGCTCTCACCATGTTACTGGACGTTTCCCTCATCCTATACGTAAACAACAATTAGCAACATCCTTACATATTACTGTAAGTTGAGTCAATTTAAATTCATTTTACACTTTTGTTGCTACTGTTATCATTGTAATCGCAGCTCCTGAAGATAATGGCAAAGTCCATTGAAAGCTAGAGAGAATTAAAAAAGTATAAAGAGTCCTCTTTGCTTAAATTTTGTCGAAGTACCCAACAAAAGGCGGAAGCTTTAATTTTTCACCTATATATATAATAAAATAAATGGGCAAACGTCCTACGGACCGCCCAGACCAACAAATGACGGATAGTAGTTCACGAGTCACCAAATTTTGACGTCATTATGACATGCGATTGTGCTAGCTGGACAGCACATTGCTCTATAATTCTTGAACACCTTGTAACATATCATAGGAAACGTGTACAGTTAGCCATGCACAAATATATTAAGAATGTAAGGTATTTTTTTTAATTAGTTGTGAATGCCATCTTGATACTATTGTGATTTCTCTTTGCTTTTTTTAATAGTTACTATGCTACATCACACTTATATCATTACTCTACATCTGATTCAATGAATTCTGTTAGTAAGAAGTTATTCTTGTTTAAAAGTTTTATTCACCACAAACTTATCGCCTAATTGAAAATGGTTCCAAACGATTTACTTGTGGTGTAGCATCGGAAGTTCGGTGGAATTTGTGCATAGCAGTCAAAACGACACTAGCCTTGGCCAGTTTTATAGTTTGTTCTAATTTTATTACGATTTTCCATATCATTATCATCTATACAACGATCGCATATTTTTCATTTTTTCATAAATTTTAATTTATTTTTTATTATTATGCGTACCATTGATGTTTACGTTTGCTTAGCTGGCCATTGTTTGAAGTTACTGGAGCTGTTGTGGTACTATGTTATTCGTTTGATCGTGAAGGATTCGAAAATCTGATCGCATTTGTGTATAAAGTCATTTTTCAAAAACATATATCTACCCTTAGCCCACTTAATCTAGACCTGTTGCAAAATCCGTTTCCAGCCTACATTCCATCTCCATGAACTACCTCTCTACCAAATGTCATGTTTTTTAGGTTAACTTTTCCGATATTCCTCAAGTAATGTGTATCTTTTTGCTTTTACATATATTTAGCTCCCTTAATCCGGCCCTGTTGTGAAATCCGTTCGGCATATATTGTCCATAATTACCTCCCCACCAAATTTCATTTTCAAAGTATATATATATATATATAGGTGAAAAATTAAAGCTTCCGCTTTTTGTTGGGTACTTCGACAAAATTTAAGCAAAGAGGACTCTTTATACTTATTTTAATTCTCTCTAGCTTTCAATGGACTTTGCCATCATCATCAGGAGCTGCAATTACAATGATAACAGTAGCAACAAAAGTGTAAAATGAATTTAAATTGAATCAACTTACAGTAGTATGTGAGGATGTTGCTCATTGTTGTTTTCGTATAGGATGAGGGAAACGTCCAGTAACATGGTGAGAGCTGGATACATGGTACAATGGTTAAAATTATATAAAATATGACAAGTTAATGACAGATTAAAAATTATTTAGAAAACATTAGAGCATTACGTCGTGAAGCCACTTAATGATTGCACAAAATGGTGGTCATGGAATAATGAGTGATATGAACCTTTGACAGAAGGCCGAAGGTTGTCAATGTCTGTGTTGAAAGATGGAACGAATGTCAAAGGTTCATCTCACTCATTATTCCATGACCACCATTTTGTGCAATCATCAAGTGGCTTCACGCCGTAATGCTCTAATGTTTTCTAAATAATTTTTAATCCTTCATTAACTTGTCATATTTTATATAATTTTAACCATTGTACCATGTATCCAGCTCTTACCATGTTACTGGACGTTTCCCTCATCCTATACGAAAACAACAATTAGCAACATCCTCACATACTACTGTAAGTTGATTCAAATTAAATTCATTTTACACTTTTGTTGCTACTGTTATCATTGTAATTGCAGCTTCTGATGATGATGGCAAAGTCCATTGAAAGCTAGAGAGAATTAAAAAAAGTATAAAGAGTCCTCTTTGCTTAAGTTTTGTCGAAGTACCCAACAAAAAGCGGAAGCTTTAATTTTTCACCTAACTGGTCTAGACGACAATGACCACGTCTCAAGTTATATATATAATTTTCGAGATTTCGTTCTTTTGTATATATCTACCCTTAGGGGGATTTTTTCGCATTTGTATATATCTGCCCATAACCCCCTTATTCCTGCCCTGTCGCACAATAAGTTCTCAGTCGTCACGTCCGAGAGTGTTATAAACTTGAAAAACACGTATTTTTGAAACTGTCTGTTAATTATTATTTTAAAGATACATTTGGAGACAAAACATACTCCTATTTTTAGGGCCTCCTTGATTTTCATAGTTTTTCCTATCCTTCAGAAAAGCAGGGGTATTTCTAGATTTCTACTGTTTGGGGACAGCGTTCTATTTTGAGGTTATACTTTGTTTTTGAATACTAAGAAATTTTAGGCTGATGTAACTTGGTTTTTATCATCTGTTTCATCAGCCTGAAATTTCTTAGGATTCAAAAAGAAAACATAACCTCACAATAAGAGAGCGCTGAGGCTGACACAACAGTTGAAACCTAGAAATACCCCAGCCTTTCTAAAGGAGAGAACATACTATGAGCATCAGAGGCCATAAAGGCGGCCTACATTTGTAGGAAAGACTGAAAATACTGAATTCCCACTTAACCCCCTCAGGGGTGGAATTGTCAAAATTTCTTTCAGCGCTCATATCTGTATTCCTAAATTTAAAAAATTAATAGTTACCTTATAGTAGCTGTTACTTATTGCAACCTCTTCACATCTAAATTTCACAACAAAAGGTATCCTATTTCCGTCTCCAAGGCTTAAGTTATATACAGGGTGTCCCAGAAATATCACGCCAAAGTGAGACGGAAGGCAAATCAACATGACCTTAGTAAAAGTTTTCTAGTTTTCGAGATATTGCCACTTTTGGTTTTTTCAAAAAATCACTACTTTTTGCTCCTTTTCTGCCTACAAATGTTATACTATTTTTTAAAGAGCATCAATTTTTGGAGATCATTTGCCGATTCAGTCTGGTACATTTTTTTCACAGTAATTAGTCAAACTTTGAATGAATGAAAACACGAAATTAGAGGCATACCGGCCACCATAAGGAGCCAGCGCATAGGCCACTCGGACGGGCCCTTGTGCACCTCCACATGTCTTAGACCTCAAGCCTCGCCATTCTAGCGAAGTTGAGCATAGCCTTGAGCCCAAACTCCTTAATGTCCTGGGGGTCCAAAGTGATGGACCCCAGCTGTAGTAGCTAAGAGCCTCGCAGCGGCACAGAACCTGCGCCGAGGTCTCTTCTACCCCGCAGCGCTCACACAAGGGATCCTCAGCCACCCCCATCACGTGCAGGTGGCGCCTTAACGTGTTATGGCCAGACAACAGTCCCACCAGCAGCCTTAGGTTGGCACTATCCAAAGTTAAGCAGAAACGGCCGTCCTTAGCGTTGGGCCCTGCAATGAGTTCCCCTAACTCTTAGCGCGGGCACCCCTAAAGCCGGCTCAGGACCAAGGAGCTTGCTGGCTGATCCTGTCTTCGAAAGAGCGTCCACCATCTCATTGCCCCTTATCCCAGCGCGCCCCGGTACCCACACTAACGGTACCGGATGCCTCGCTGCTAGACAATCCAGAGCCTCCCTGCATTGCAGCACAAGACTCGAAGTAGTCTTACAGGTACTTAGTGCTTTCATTGCAGCCTGACTGTCGGAGAAGACTGTTATCCTTCTCCAAGGCCCACCCGTCTCCAAAATGAGGGATACACAAGCCAGAATCGCAAAGAGGCAGAGATAGCCTAATCCTAGGCCCCGAGACC